TTCTGGCTCTGTTTCTCCAACTCCTGAAGCTTCACAGCCCACCCTCCCTGTGCGGCAGCCTGGAGACTGCCCAGGCAGTAAGCCAGGACAATCTCATTCATTTCATATCTCCCAAGGATCACGGTCCTTCCTTGCTTTATGGCCATTGTCTTGAAAATCATTATTTCATATATTTTGTCTGATTTCCTAGTTGTTTCAGGTGGGAAGATAAATCTGGTCCCTGACACTCCATCTTGGCTAAAGGCAGATGTCAGGACGACAAATTTAAAGGCAATGTTGGGACCATGATCAGTTCATTACATGATATCCATTTCAATCCTCAAGGGCATTTAAGGATAATAATGGTTATAAAGATCGATTTGGCTTTAGATCACAAGACTTTGCTGGTTGGTGCTGAATGTCTCTGGAGTTTTACATAATGCTTAAATTTTCATGGCCCTGATAGAAGTGCTGATCCTAGAGATGTACACAGATAGACTAGTTCTGTGCTCCCTCCTCTACACATCCAAGATAGGAACCAGAGTTATCCAGGAAGGTAATAGCAACATATGTATCAGCTCAAAGGATTGGATGCTTACTTTGTGACAGACCCAGTTCTCAGTATCTTACATGTATTAACTCACCAGGAGTCTCAGATTTTAACAATGATTTTCATTAATGCACAAAGAGAGATGGCCACCAAGAAGCAGGCTGCAGTCCCTCACTACCAAATTTACACTGTCCTGGGAGGAAGCCACAAGAAAGGTCCACCCCTGCAAGACATTTGACAGAGTCTAACATGTATGTTGGGGAACTAGATGGATAAATGTGGACTCGGGCTCAGAGAGCCAATTCACTATATGAGGAGGCCTCTAAGGGTTTCTTCCTCACCTGTGAGCTTGTCTACAGTTTCATCAGTGGTTGGGTTAACATAAGAGCTTAAATTTACTGTTAGGGTCATGAATGGATCTCAGAACAACATACACTTGTTGAACACCTACTATGTTCCAGGTACTGACCAAGGCATTTGTAAAATAATAGTGTGGAAAAGTAAGATTTTTGTCCTGGAAGGATTTAAAAGCTAGAAAAGGGAGATTATCAAAACAATAGAAAACAATAGTCACGGGGACATCACTGGTGGTCCATCAGTTAAGAATCCGCCCTGCAACGCAGGGGACGCAGGTTCAATCCCTTGTTGAGGAAGATCCCACATTTCACAGAGCAACTATGCCTGTGCACCAGACCTACTGAACCTGCACACCACAACTAGATTCCTTCCCACCACATGGCATATCTAAGACCGGATGCAGCTAAATAAATAAATATTAAAAAACAACAGTCATGTAAACAAGCAAATTACATAGCATGTTAAAAGGTAAGTTTATAAAAGCAATGTTTTCCCTTAGGGGATCAGGAGATCTGGGTACTGTAAAGGTGATGGGGGGAGTTACCAGATGGCAAATTCATATACAGAAGTAGGCTTCCCTGAGAAGGTTACATCTGAGCAAACAAACTCAAAATGAGGGGCCCAGTCACGTGGACAATTGAGAGAAGAGCGTCCAGGTAGAGGGAACAGCAGGAAGCACAGGGCATCCCCGCTGGGAGCAGGCCTTTCAGTTTGAGGGAGAGAAGGAAGGCAAGCAGAACCAGAACAGAGTAGGTGAAAGGGAGATAACAAGGGGGTGAGGATCAGGAGGAAGGCGGGGGCTCACCCCAGCACAGAGTCAGTTTTGCAGGAAGAAAGGAACAGTTCAACATGTGTGCCTATCACACTGAGCATCAACTGAAACAGACCTACAAGTGCACAAACAAGCAAAACGCTGGTCAAGTGAGCCTGAGAGTCCCACAGGGTGGTGCCCGGGGCTCTCCGACGATCTGCCCCAGCCGGGGGCAACATTCCCCAAGGCCTGGGTCCCAGCAGGCAACTGTCTGTCTCCTCCGCCAGTACATCTCTGGCTTAGTGTGACCTCTTCTCCAGCGTGAGAAGTTACTGCTTTCTAACTGGTAGAGTCATGCCGAAGGAGGCACCACCAGCCTTGTAAGCAGGACAGTCAGCACGAGCTGAGGCTAACGCCCAGCCAGCTGAGCTCGTGGACGCACCTCCATGCCCCTAAGGAGTCACTCCTGCTGAGACAGGCTAAGGCCTGGCACCTGGGTGCCTCTGCCGCAGTGCCTGCACCTGGACAAACGTCTCCTCAGGCAACAAAATACAAAAAGTACAAGGGACTAAAAATAACCGCGTATATGCGCAGCTGGAGCATATTGGTCAGCAAGATAGAGCACTGTTAAAGAAAAACCCAAAACAAAACCCAACTGCCACTTCTGAAGAGCCAGCAGCAAAAAAAGGGTGTCGAGAACAAAATCAGGGCACTGCACATCCCCCTGCACTCAGCACCACCTAAGGGGTGGGCAAATCCCCTGAACCACCCCTCCAGCCCAACCCCTGGACACACTGCTCGCTCCAGGTAAGGAACCCTCAGGAAGCGAGCAAGAATGGGAACCTGTTAGTTGTTCCCCCTGCTGCAGCAGGGGCCCCAGTAAATAAAGCCTTGCCTGAAATTCTTGTTTGGCCTCTGATCAATTTCTATTGATTAAAGAGGCCAAGAACTCTGGTCAGTAACACTGCTAGGATTTGGGGAGAAAAATGCCAACTTTGTTTTGGTATTGGTGGAATTCTCAGAAAAGGCAAGCAGGAAAGCATATTTCATGGTTCTTGGTGAGCTGCAGGAATAAACGCTCAGGTGCACTGTAACTTACAAAGCGAAGAGATCTCACTTTATGTAGCCATATTTTGAGCTTCAAGAGAGAAGCTAAGCTGATCATGACTTGCTGCTCTCACTGTCCTCTTGGAGCAAAAAGATGCCAACAAAGAAAATAAAGTAAAAAGTCACCTTCCTCTCCTTTGGAATCTGTCTTCGAATAAACAGAGCCTGCCTTTTCTCCTGCAGGAATAGTCACATCTGTGCTTGGTCTCTAGCCCATTCCTTTCTGGCTGAGTGATCTTGGTCCATCACCTAGCCTCTATTTTTTATTGTTAAGTGGGGTTCAAAGCTCCTGCCCTCGAGGGGTACAGTCAGGGTTTCATGTGACAATGCAAGAAAGAGTCTAGCCTGGTGGATCATGAGCCTCCAGGAGTTGTACACCCTTCCTGTTATCACTGCTGACCCAACTGGTATGCAACAGTCTGGCTCCTAGAAGCCAGTATCTCAGGGCAGCCTGTGTCCAGCTCCCACCTGTCAATCCTGCTCACCCGTGGGGCTAGTGCAGCCTGGTCTTCGGGGCAGGGAATACTCCACAGTGGGCAGAGTGGCCAAGGCATGTCCACTGACTCAGCTGGGTGCTTCCCTTTTCTCCCGCTTGGGTGCCCGGGCACTCCCACCCTTCTTGAATGCTCGGGGTCCTCCTCTAGGATACCATGCACACAGATCTCCTGCTGCCACCGCACCACCAAAGGGCCCTCTGAAACCTGCCCTCTCCAGGAGTTCTGTGCCATCACGAACTTTAAGGGCAGGCCTCTTGGCCAGCATATGGTACCTGAACAGTTAGGCCTTAACATTAAGGCAGATGGTGAGCACTGGACACGGTGGCAGACCACTGGGGTTGATCAGATCCTGGGACTGGTCCCATCTTCCCAGGGAGGTGTCCTTCAACCCAGCCGTGGCTGGATGTGAAATGGGAGGCAGCTTCCTGTTACCAGGGCCTGGAAGGGACCCTTGCTGACACCTCCACAGGGGAATGGGAGAGAAAGATTCTAGACAACTCTGCGGATAAACGTCCTTTGAGGAAACAGCAGGCAGGAGGCGCTGGCCTGGTCGTGAGGCACAGCCCTCTTCCACACCCTGAGCAACGGCAGGCAGTGTCCCCCTGTGGATTCCACCCAGACTTCCTGAACCAATTCACACACAGCCAGGAAACGCTCAAGAGGCAGCAGCCTGCCTCCCGGGGTCCAGGCTGACCTGCTGGGCTGGCCAGGATCCCGCCCAAGGTCTCATTCTGAAGGCACAGTCCCGGGCTATCTTGGAGTTGCTCCCATCCTGAGTTCTTGCTCTGGGCACCTGCCCAGCCCTGCAGGCTGCCTCCCTCAGACTAGATACTGCCCTGAGCTCCAGGCCGACTGCCACTGGGTGGCTCCTGAGTCCCACTCATCCCGAGATGGTCCTCCTGCCCCACAACGACTCTGGCTCTGCCCCTCTCCTGAGCCAGCTGCCAACTTCCGGCTGGACTGCAGGCTGCTCTGGCCTCCCCCAGGGACCCCGACACATCCTTCTTGGCACACTTCCACCCACAGGAGGGGCCCTGCTACCTGCAGCATGGTCAGAAAGTGTGTGCCCTGGGGGTGAACAGACTTGAGTCAAATCCTTCTTCTACTTACTTCCTGGCCAAGCCATTCTGAATGATCAGTTCACCCCTTTCACCCCTGAGGCTTGGTGTTACCATCTGTACCCTGGGGAGAGTAACCTGGGGAGTCTGTGGTAATCGTTCACTGGGATCAGGCACGTTGGAAGCTTTAGGGCAAAACACGTGGGCACTGCTCAGAAAATGATAACATTTTAATGGGGTTATTAACACTATTATCATATAATCAACTTATCATTTGCTAAATGCTCTCCGTATGACACCCTCCAACATCCAGCAGTTTTTAGCTCTCTTCTATATCTGTGAGGATTTGGTATCAGGCAACAATGCATCACCTCCAAGAGGAACAGACTCATTAACTTTCTTCTCAGTGTCTTAATATTACCATGTCTTAATATTACAAAGAAAGAAAGACCTCTATATTAAAAAACAAAACAAAGCAAAATATTAGGCTCTTAGTGTCAGCCGTAACTCTGAACCAACCCCTTGCAAAGCTCCTGTGTAAGACAGTACGTGTGTGTGCATGTGTGACTCACACTGGGTGCTCCATGCATGCATGTATGCATATACATGTAAGTGTGTGTGTGGAGTGTAAATACCTGTATCCACCAACAGAAGCCAGATGCTCCTGCCCGAGCCAGCCCTCCCCTCCCGAGGCAGCTTACCTCCATGTTTCTGCAGAAGGTGGCATTGGTGCCAAAGAGGATCTGGCACTGCTCGTTGGCACTGTAGTGCATGCCTGGCAGCTTGTGGGGCAGGCGCACTGCGTGCTGGCTCCTGGGGTCTGTGACCAGTAAACAGGTGCTGATTTTCGACCTGAAACAGCCAAGAGGATAGTTGGTTTGCAAAGGTACCTCCCAGGTTTTTGTTCTACTCTGCCAGTAACTAAGCAGCAGTATTCTCCAAGTCATGGGGAGACGACCAAGCACCGGACACAGGACTACACCTTTGCTCTTTTCCAGATAGCTGAACGCAGATCTTTATTCGGGAGGCCACGAGAGCGGGGCAACAAGAAGTGGCCCAGGCATATCACCCACATAGAAATGTATTTTTCTTGGGGAGTCTGAGTGCTTTCTTGGATGAAAATGCTTTTGAAATAGATTGCTATGATATGTTCTCAGAATGAATCAAGAAAAAATTGGAGTTAGGGTTATTTTGCTTTTAAATAAATAAGCAAACAATCAAGCAGGCAAGCTTATTTCCAATTCTGCAGACTTTCTTAGGGGCAGGGTCTGTCAGGTTCTGGACACTGGCTAGTCCAGGTGCCCTACCTGGCCATGAAAGCTGGCTGGTGGCACACCATGCAAAAGACTTAAAGATTTCAACCAGGACAGAAATGTTCAGAGATGTTGAGAATGCTCTGACAAACAACTGGGGGGTGGTATGGCTGTGGCTCCTTTAGGAGTTAAATACTTGAATGCTTTTATTTTTCAATTCCTAAAACAAGGCAGATGGTAGGAAAAAGAAAACCCAGCCTCTTGCCAAGATTCTTGAAGAAAAGAGTTGCATGCACGCAATACACACAGGCTGACTATATTAAAACTAACAAGGCCATTTTTAAGCCCTTAGTTTCCCAGTTACAGGAAACATCATAAAAGAAGACCCAGGATGAGGACAGAAGCCAGAATGATCCTTTGATCCTCCATCCTGAGTTTACTGAGCACTCCACTGTGTTACAGGACTATAAAGCTCTGTGTATAGCAGAGACTCACTGACACCTTCCGTCTCCATGGGGGGTACAGATGATGCAGTTAAGTGGTAAAGCAGTTGGGGTCTGCCTGTCAAACCTATAAGTTCAGCCCTGAGGTCCTGACACCAAGGGACACACATAGTACTTGAGTACAGACTCTATTTGACAAAGGTCTGACATCAGATAGCTAATTCTTCCACTGAAATCTGAGAACGGAGTAAGGCAGACACATTCTGGAATGAAAGTGGTTCTGAGATAAACCCGTCCTAGCCCCACATGTGAGGAAGGTAAAGCAAGCCCTCCTCCCAGCAAATGGACTTCCATCCAGGGAAGCAGCCTGAGCTTTGGGGAAGCACCCAGTTCTACAGCAGCCAGGGGTGCCACTGAGGTGGTGCCTACTCTCGGTCAAAATAATGAAGAGAAGTGAAATAAAACCTTGACAAGGTATGGTCACTGCATGACATTTCCGTTGATAAAATTTGTGACCAGCAGCAGGGTGGCCAACATCATACCAGACACGCCTGGAAGGAAGTCTCTCCAGCTGAACTGGAGAGATTCACTTCTGCTCCTACTGGCTGACACCCCGACTATTGTGTTATAGGAAGTATTGTAGCACGTTCTACTGTACTCATGGTACAGAACAATTTGAAGACTTACTTGAGGAAGTTCTCGAGGTCATCTCGACTGCAGGAGGACCAGGAGAGGTCGCTGGGGCTCCGGCCTTTCACCCACTCTCCCGACATGATGTGGGACCTGCCAGCGCAGGAGGAGTGGTCATCGTCGTGGTTCATCCCCAAGCTGCCCGAGGGAGAGGGGGAGAGGGCGCTCATTACAGGCTTCTCATCTCCTGGCCCGGACGCCAGCACCCTGTGCCCACCTAGATCACAGCTCAGTCACACACAGTAGCACAGGAGACGCCTGCTTCCCTGCCATTCTCAGAGCGGACCGCGAGTCACGAGCTTAAAGAGAAAGAGTGAGGGTGATGACGCGCTTACTCAGTGAGCGGAACTAATTGACCATGTAACCAACAGCATTCACCTAACAGATGAATGATAAATGAGTGAACCAATTATAGTAAATGTAATATTAAGAGTTCTTCTGATGGTTAGACTTGCTTTTCCATACTAACATATCCCAGTGTAATGCTTCAGTATCTCACTGCCTGCAGAGAAGTCACTATGCTAAGGGCTGGTGCCAGCCAAGACTCTGACTTATGAAAACTCATGAACACTCATGGCTTTTGATTCACATCACTATACCCGGGTCCACCAAGATCAGACCTACCTCCTTCCCCACCCAGTTGTACCTGGAAGAAAACAGGATGCTGATGTAGATGAGGGAGGCTAACTGTAAGGTAAGCGGAACAATGGTCTCAGTTCACAAATAGGCTGCCAGCGAGGGGAAGCTGAGGAACAGAACACCCGCGATCAGATGGCCCACCATCTGCTGACCCGTGACCTCCAGGGCAGAGAGTGCGTAAGGGTTGCTCACTCTTTGTCAACAGCCCCGTGGAAAACACATACATGCTCCTTCCTTCAAACATATTTAAGAGAGGCTTCTCAAGGGCCAGAAACGGCCTTGAAAGAGAAGATACAATGGGGCATGATAAGCCATCGAATCAGCCTGGGAGAGGAGACAGACCCAAACAGAGCCAAGAGGTTGTAAATGCGTCTCTGCAGCCTTATTTCTCCCAGTTCTCCTCACGTGCCTCCGACCATCTTTCATCAGTTCTTCTGTGTTCTCACTCCACTCGGTTCTCTCACCACTCGGTGTTCCTGTACAGAGAGGCTACCTTGGCCACCCCCACATGAAACTGGGGAGCTGACCCCACTCCCACCGCTGGAACAACAGGGCCTGGCACCCAAGCTCCTGCTCCAGGTGAGCAAGGCCCCCTCTGGTCACCCAGCAGGTCTGTTCCTATAGTTGAGGGCATACATACCAAAGGTGAACTGAATTTATTCTCAAAGATATTTATAATACTTGTTATTTCAATCAATACATGTGGTTACATGTTATGTTAACCAGCGTAATATGAGCATAAAAGTAAAGTTTTCATGAAAAGCAATTTAGCTAGAAGTTAAACTAGGCTGCTGCCAAGTTGGGTGTGGGCAAGACAACGGTAAAAGTTGAGGAAAAAATCATAAAAATCTGCCCTTAGACTGTTTCACAAGGGTCTTTCAAGGTCTGCTGAATCTAAAAAAAGAAAAGAAAAAAAAGACACTGAACCCAAGCTCATCACACTATAGTTGTGGTTTCTGTAAGGAAGGTGATGGGAAGCCCAGTCAGCTTCCCTCAGAGAAAAGGCTTTCGCCCCCACCACAAAATTGGTGACAAAATGAAAGTTTTCATTACTTAAGTCAAAACAAAATGGCCAAATGTTTAAGAACCTAAGTGTAATTTCTTTGCATTTCCCCTCCTGACCCAGTTTTTCAGTTAATGGCTCAGCTGACCAACCACTACCCTGCTATCCTGTCAGACAGGAAGGTTTCTGCGGTGCCGCCTACACATTGGCGCCCCCTTCCCCTCAGTCCAGGCCTCTCCTGCCAAACCTCTCCCTGAAAAATGACCGCTCCTGGGATTTCCCAAGGGCTCTTCCACCCCACCAGGTGCCCTCAGTGCAGCTTTCCATCCCAGCCTGTCCACCCATGACTGACACAGAGCAAGTACTCTATGAATATTTATCAAGTGGATTAACTATTTGATGCAGGAGAAAACAACAAAAAATTGGAGGATCCACATCCACAGTAGCTGTGCTGGTCTAGGGCAGTGGCCTGCTCAACAAAACAATGAAAACCATCTCTGGGTAGATGCAATCTTGTTTTCCTGCCTCAATGCCAGGAATCCATCCAATTATGGTTAAGTAGAGAGCCTAGAAATTATCAGATACATCCGACCAATAAGGATAATTTTCCAATGGTATTACTCAGGTTTTTACTTTTTTTTCCTGCTTGTTATCTGTGGCTCAACTGATAAAGAATCTGCCTGAAATGCGGGAGACCTGTGTTCGATCCCCGGGTTGGGAAGATCCCCTGGAGGACGGAAAGACTACCCACTCCAGTATTCTGGCCTGGAGAATTCCATGGACTGTGTAGTCCATGGGGTTGCAAAGAGTCAGACACGACTGAGCAACTTTCACTTCACTTTTCATACCTTTATCTATACACACACACACACATATATATCCATCTCTTTGTTTCAGGAAAGAGAGGAACTGACTGCAAAAGATATTAAGTCACCTTAAATTTGGTTTAGGGTTTGATATGATATCTATAAATAAAACAAGTGATAGAACTTTCAAATGGGTAGATCTGAAAATGTTGATGGCTTCTAGGGAACTCTGGTGTAGAGGTTACAGAAATAGAAGGTCTCATGAAAAAAGTGGCTCCGAACTGCATCACTAAGGACAAAGTGTGAGCACAGAACATGGAGCAGGTCAAACTGTGTCAATGCCCCCCTGGAGAATCCAATCCCAGGGAGATTCAACCCGGGATCCTAAACCCCCTCCCACATCCCAAGCTGCGACATCCTGAGCGGCCCCCAGACGCTCCTTGCCGTTTGGGAAACCACAGTCGGAAGACAGCCAAGCCCTGGCAGAATGGCTTTGCCACGTATGGAGGAATGTTTCACTTGTGACTTACTTCCAACTTTCTTCCCCGTGGTCAAGCTGCTTGTAAAATCAAAGAGGTTCTTTCGCCCATATGCCAGACTCCTCTGGCCAGAAAGCCTGGTCTCTCTGGAGACAAAACTATGTCCACCAAAGCGCTCAGAAAAGCTGACTGTGCTCTTGACACCCATATGCCCACAGGGCGTTGTGTTAGTGGTTCATGGTGCCAGCCCCCAGAGAGGGACTTCCCTAAGGAATGTTCTAGTCAGCAGGATCAGCGAGGAGTGCCGTTCTCAGGTTTCTGGAGCTTGCCTCGAATACAGATGGTGCTGGATCTGGTTTAAAAAGTTCAAACGCTAACTAAGAGCTTCACAAACCTACAGTCTGAGGAACTCGCATTTAGGTGGGAGTTTTTAAATTTGAGGTCTACATAAACTACAGTTTAGGCTATTTTTAGTTCAAGTTAAAGATCACTTGACTGAAGAAATTTCATGTTATTTTAGGTTGATGTCTGTGGTAACATTATGTTTAACAGGACATGTAGCATTAAGCACACACAGCAACTTTAACCCTAAGTGACTGAGATTAAGGACACAGATGGGTCTCATGGCACATGTGGTCCAGATTTATCAAACACAATGACTTCATGGCCTTGAGTAGACTTTATCTTAAGACAAAAGAACACGGTGCTTCCAAATCTGCTTCAGGAAATCCAATATATACCATGTGGGAATTCTGAAAGGCAACGCACCCCCCTTGCTAGCTTCACTGAAATCCTGGAAGGCGCAGGACATACTAGGTGTTCTGGGGCTGGTACCCATGCCATTGTGGAAACTTCAGTTTTACCTGGTTCAGAGCCTGTCCCGTGGATGCTTGGGTGTTTTGATGTCAGGTTTGTGACCTGGGCTGCCTCCCTTTATAGTACTCTAGGCTGGGTTTGTGAAATAAGTGCTTGGGCAGAATAAAAGACCCCAAAAAGGTTCCCATGAAGGCAGTCTCTCCAGGGAAGGGGTTGAGGCTGGCTTGAGTCCTGCTTCAACTGTTCCCGGGGAACACTGCCTGCCGGTCCCTTTTCAATAAATGTTTACTATTTGAAATAACAGGAAAGGCCCACAGCAGTTTCCAGGAGATCATTACTGTTGATTAATAAAATAATAATAAACACCTCCAACATTACTCTAGAAGGGAAATTCTTTACTACCACTACCTATGTGCCAAGAACCAGACTACCCTCAACCTAAAGCTACTCAGAAACTTTACCTTCAAGGATTAAAAGTCACCAGGGGTACCAGGCTGCACTCATTTATACAAGTTGAACAATAGGGTTGATTGTCATGATCATCAATAACCCCATTTATAGGGAATACAGCATCCATATTCTCTCACCTCAGAGAAGTTGTTTTTATTTTTAGATAGGAAACTGAGCTCATCAACTTGCAGGGACTCAGGAACACTGCAACTACTAGAGTAGACCTAGGGCCTCCACCCTAGGTCCCCAGAATACAAATAATCCCCAAACACCATGGAGTTCTGAATCACTAATGGATAAAGACTAACCAAAATAATGTTGGTGTTAAGTGCATTTTGCTAAAAAGGATAACAGCATAGTAGGTGAAAATGGATAAGGAACATCAGAGTATACAGTACATATCTCTCTTAGATAACCAGAGCACAGAAATCAAAAAGCACTCATGTTCTTGGGTTTACATAGATGGGATTTTGATGTCAGTTATGTAAGTCACGTCTGACTCTCCCTCAAAGTAGTCTTGCCTAGGATTTGCATGTGTGAGTGTATAAACATATACATATACCTACACACACAAGATCCATTTCAAACGGGCTTTAAACTTTTAATTCAAGTAATTGGGATGAAAGAAAAAGAGAAAGAAAAAGGAACAAAGCACATGCGATTCTATCCCCTACTCGGGGTAATGCGTGTGCGCGTGTGTGTACAAGCATGCATGCGACCATGCACCCGTGCGAGGACAGAAGAGAATCGGCCATCTGCCATTCTCTCAGGGTCTGGAGGCCTCTCTCTGTGAGAACAGCATCACTCTGAGGGTGACTCTGACGCTTCACAAAACAAATTTTTCACCCAACAAGGCCACAAGGTGTGGAGTCTTGATGCATGAAGTTCAAATTTTGTTTGATGCTCAGAGAAACAGCTGTCACTTCCAACAGTGCTGGGGAGACT